TGACCAAAACTGGATGCAGTATTCTAGGTGTGGTCTTACTAAGACTAGAGTAGTATTAGTACCTCACTTGATTTCGATTATATCATTATATCACTCGACCAGTGTGTTGGAGTCCCCTAGATTCTCTTCACACTTCAATCTCAGTTGATTTCCTGACATCCTTCTTAAATTATGAATTATATCCTTGATATTGGTTTCTACAATAATTGTTCCAAGTGAATTTATTCCAAATGACTTCCCTCTGTTAATGCAATTTAGGATTGCAATGGCTTTTTTGGCTGCCGCTGCACACCTGTTAACTCATATTTAATTGGTTGTCCACTAAGACTCCAAGATCCCTCTCACAATTACTGCTATTAAGCCTGGTTTCACCCAGCCTATATGTGTACTTTTGGTTTTTCTTGTCTAAGTGTAAGATTTTACTTTTATCTACATTGAATTTCATTTTGTTAGTCAGTCAAGATCCATCTGAATCTTCAGCCTATCATCTAGGGTGTTGTCTATTCCTTCCAGCTTAGTATCATCCACAAATTTGGTAAGTTCTCCTTCTATTCCCTCATCGAAGTCATTTATGAAGATGTTGAAGAGTACTGGGCCTAAGAAGGAACCTTGTAGTACCCCACTGCTTACTTCCCTCCATGTAGACATAGTACCATTAAGAACTACTCGTTAAGTATGGTTTGTCAGCCAGCTACAAATCCATCTGATGGTGATGCTATCTATCCCACTTGTGGTCTACTTTGTTGAATGCCTTGCTGAAGTCTAAGTATATTACGTCCGCAGTATTTCGCTGATCTACGAATTTAGTCACTGTGTTGAAGAATGAAATAAGATTGGTTTGGCATGATCTGTTCTTTTACAAACCCATGCTGGCTTCTAGTTATTACTTTATTTGTTTCTAGACGTTGGCAGATCTGGTTTTTTTATTATCTTTTCCAATATCTTCCCAGGTATTGATGTTAGGATGATTGGTCTGTAGTTTCCCAGGTCTGTTCCCTCCCCCACTTTTTTCTGAAGATGGGAACCACATCAACTCTTTTCCAGTCCTCTGGTAGTTCCCCAGTGCACCACGATTTTTGAAAGATGTGGTAAAGGGGTTCTGAGATGACATCTGCCAACTCCTTTAGAACTCTGGGATGTAATCTGTCAGGTCCTGGTGATTTATATTTGTCAAGTTTAGATAGGTGTTTTCTTACCTTTTTACAGTGAGTAAGACAATGGCATGATCATAGTAGTAGAGGTCATATTATCTGCTGCATAAGAATAGCTACCATAAATCCATGGCAGGAAGAGAGACTAAGTACATAATTATCTAAAAGCTTAAGAAAATGAATGGTACAGTATATATCATTCTAAAGATGGAATAAGTATAAGATCAGTGAAAACCATATTCAAAATTTTGGTGTGCATCAGGAATGGAAATGACAAGATAACTAGCATCTAAGAGAACCAAGGTTGACTTAATTTTCATATCCAGGTTAGAGGCAACACTATAATCTTAATCTTCAAAGTAGAATTCAGTAATTGTAGTTCTCATGCAGTTAAGGTATACAATCTCAATTACATTTTCTACAAGGGTCTGCTTTCAAAATAATTTCTATAAATCACTGTACAGTTATCAGGGTATTTATAAAATAACCAACAATGAGTTATAGTATTTTCCCTAGTATCTATCTCTGAGTGACAAGGTTGTTTTCTTTCTGCTATAGCTGTGTGTTCAAATCTTATGAATACAGGGACAAGAGATTAACAGTGCATCAGCAAGTTCCATTAAATTGTTTTTATTAAACTAGAATAAAATTCATTGGCCCTGAAGTTATGCATTCATTTAAAGCAACCATCTATTTATGTATTCATTAAAATAGTTCTAAAGCACCCTTCATCAAATGACAAGAAAGCAGTGTACAAAATGGGCCCCCAAATGTATAGTCATAATGAAACAGAAGAGAATGCAATAATAAAACAACTTAAATGACAGATTAGCCAATTGCCTTTAGCATTTATATGACAAGAGGTATAATGTGATCCTCTCCATGTTAGGAATAGCTGTATCTATATGATGAATTGAGCCAATGGAGAATTTGCTCAATTTCTTTCTTTCTACAGAATGTTTCAAAAGTCATTTGAGACAGAAGAAACATTGAAATGAAAAACAAGAAACATGAATGCATGTGGGAGCCAAATTCATATAGACTGTGAAGCTTCTTCCTCTTCCTTTTCCTCTTTCCTTCCTGAATTAACAGATACTTGGAAAGTCAGTTGGTAGCTTTGAGTGATTGACATTTTTTGATATGTTACTGGCATTTAATAGGGCTTGCCCCGCAAGCTTAAGCCCTTACACATTCCAAGTCTTATGCCTGTTTTCACCTTTAGTTTTCCACAAAATTTCAATGGTGTCCTGATGGTTACAATCATCTCTTCCCTTTCTCTGGGTCTGAAAAGAATACAATTATGGTGTATTATGGGCCATAACTTATGACCATAATTGAACCTGGAATTACTGTCATGTCATGCTGGACATGTAAGTGAGTCACCATGTGACCATGCCCAATTTTATGACCTTTCTTGAGGTGATCATTATGAGAACCCATTTTATCCAATGAGTATTTTTTTTGTGCTATTTTTAGCTTCTTAATATAGTTCTTAATATGGCTCTCCCTTAGTATGAACCAGATGCGAAGGCAATAAAGCATATTTAAATGTGGGACGCAACATTGGTCAATCACTACACAACCCTTTTAGGCTTTCTTGTGCCCCCATTACTAAATGTGCAACCCAGAAAGTTTAACTAAAGAAACAATGAGCAATATAATAATTTACAGCACCCTGTTTCTCCAACAATACGGCCTCCCCCAATAGGAAGTCCCAGCATGTTTTATAGGCATGAAATGAAATTAAGCCCCTCCCCCCAAATTAAGGCCTATATTAAAACATGCGAAATGGGGGGGGGGAAATGGCGGGGGGGCTTGCTGTTAGGAAGTACTTTTGTTGCACACCCGGATATGGTGCTGCCTGCGTTGACCCTGATACAAAGTGCCCCACCAACACCGAAGTCAACATCCAAGCCGTCCCCGCCCGCCCTAAGATGCAAGGGGGGGGGGAGGAAATTAAGTCACCCCCGAAAAGACGGCCTAGCCATTTTTTCGGGGCTCAAAAAAAAATAAGACCCGGCCTTATTATATGAGAAACACGGTAGTTGCTACCATAACAAGAAAAAGAATCATTACCTAGCCTTTCCTTCCTTCCTTCCTTCCTTCCTTCCTTCCTTCCTTCCTTCCTTCCTTTCCTTCCTTCCTTCCTTCCTCCCTCCCTCCCTCCCTCCCTCCCTCCCTCCCCCGTCCGTCCGTCCCTCCATCTATCCCTTACCTTTTGAGTCAGTATTGACTCCTAATGATTGCCTGGACAAGTCCCTGTAGTTTTCTTGGTAAAATTTTAGAAATGGTATGCCATTGCTTGTCAGGGTTCAAGAGAGAATACTTGGCCCAAGTCACCCGGCTAATTTTGTACCTAAGGTGAGACTAGAGCTTACACTCTCCCAGTTTCTAGCCTCATGGTAGAAACTACACCAAAACTAGACCACTACGCTCAGGGGTGGGATTCAAATTTTTTAACAACCGGTTCTGTGGGCATGGCTTAGTTGATGGGCATGGCTTTGTGCTCATGTGACTGGGTGGATGTGGCTTGGTGGTCATGTTATTGGCTGGGCATGGCCAACTCAATATCATTGAGGCACGCATCTCCTTGCCTGGTCTCTCATGACTGTGGGGATGCTGCAACAGTCGTAAGTGTGAAAAATGGTCATAAGTCACTTTTTTCAGTGCCACTGTGTGCCATTTCAGTGCCACACAAGGAAAGTACCAGCAAAGGAGGGAAAAAAAAACTCCAGAGAAGTTCCTGAGACAGGAAGTCTAATCCTGCCAAGAAGGGTTAACAGAGAGGCAGTTTCTGTAAGCAACACTAGAATATTTCCTTCCTGCCTTCCTTACAGGATTAGGCCAGTAATTTCTTCTAACAACCGGTTCTCCGAACTGCTTAGAATGTTAACAACCGGTTCTAGCAAATAGGCGCGAACTGGTGGAATCCCACCCCTGACTACGCTCTATAACCACAACCCTATAATAACATAATCACTCCACATATGCTGGGTTCACTTCCACCCTGGCTAAATGCCTTCACAATCCTCTGGAACCCTAACAATGTTGGAGTCTCTGAATCTCAGTGGAGAGGCTATTTCAAAAGGCCAGGACAGCAACAAAGAAGGCACACCTCCAAAATCCCACCAGATAGCAACATTTAAGGGAAGAGGCCTGATGATACTCAACCTATCTGATCTGACTGGATGGGAAGATATCTTCATAGAAAAGCAGTTCCATAAATAACTTCACCCCATGTCATATAGGGCTTTAAAGGTGATAACCAGGTGTATTGAGAAAGCCAACTAAAAGCCAGAACAACTTATATAGCAATGATGTTACACAAATAAAATATATAATACACAGAACTTTGCATGCTACCACATGAAGCACAAATTCCAGGAAATTTTCAAGGGCAGCCCCATGTAGAGTACGTTACAGAATTAAGCTAAGACGTAATTAACCCAGGAGTGAGCAAATCTCCCAGCTCTCTGAAAGGGTGCAAATGACACACAATATGAACTTATGCAAAGTCCTTCCCTAGTCATGACCGCGAACCGCTGCTACAGCAGGACTATGAGTCCAGGAGACCCAAATTGCCTACAAACTCTGTTGGAGAGAGTGCTTCCTCATCAAATATGACAAATCACCAGGCCCTCAAGCATGGATAAAAGTCCAAAACCAGTCTGTCTTGCCAAGGTTGAGTTAAAGCTGGTTTCTCTTCATGCAGGCACTAAGTAGACAAGTGAATGGCATCACTTTCTCAGCAAGAGGTGTATAATTGTAATATTGTTCACATACAATGACACCACCTTCCATCCTTTAACCATTTCCAATTTTTAATAGTTGTATTTATCCATTGCTTACCTTCACTTCCACATGGGCCATCAGAACAGCAAAGTTGGTTAAGTGATTACAGGAACATGTTGTGTGTGTCTTGTTTGTTGTGAGGAGCCGACAACCTTGAGTTGACCAGTATCCTGTCATTGTGCGTTTAGAATAACTCCAGAATGAACAGTTGGGGTTGAAATTTTCTTCTGATTGCTATAGGGAAGAAATAAATAGATGAAAAAGTACTAAATTAAATCAGCTCTGTTCAGTCATTAGCAGCAGAGGGTGATGAACGTCACAGAAACATTGCTCTTTTCATTTTAAGAATTACCCTTCCCCCAATTGTTTGATTTGTTTAGAGCTAAAGTCAGATCTGCAGAATTACTTCATTTCTACTACAAAACAATTATAAACTCCAAGTGTTTAATGGAGATTATATATCTTTTAAGTAGCTCAGATAACTTCTGGGGAGGGGGATTGGCTTTGCCTGAAAAGTGTCATATATTGTGGGTAGGGGAGGAAGTGAACATTTTGTATGATGTTTTCAGGAATAATGAAAAATAATCCACCCTAAAATATTAGGCTTTCTGTCAGGGAAGCAAGTCCTCACCTTGATGTGTTTGACAGTGAACACAACAGGATCAGCCAAGTAAACCTTATTGCTGAACTCCTTATTAATCGCTGCTGTGATGATGGGAGAATTCACTATGACAGAATGATTAGTAGACATGGCTTCCATCCCTAATTTCATGCTGGCGTTCTCTGTGGATAGATAGGGGCCCAGATTGTTGTATAGGACAAAGGCCACTCTGATTTCACCTGAAACAGAAAATTTGGTAATTGATTAAATCAGCTCTCAGAATTTCTAATCCATAATCTTTTGTTCTATAACAGAAAACATTCTATTAATGGGGTTTAAAAAATTTCAGAACTGCTTGCAGGATTGGTGGTGCAGCAACCTACTAATGTGAAGAAAGTGATTAATGTAATTAATTCAGAGTTGCTGTACATATCATCACAATAAAGATAATTGTAATACAGCCATATATAAAGATGCACTACTCTGTAACATTGCCGGATCAGTGTGAGTGTTATTATCTAGTTCTTGGTACTAATTAAAATAGGAATTTGGTTACTTTTCCACAGCATTAAAAGCAATTAGACATATATAGGCCTATTGATTCTCAGGCTCAGCCATGAGATAATCTGTGTGTGTTTTTTGGAACGCATATTCATGACATTTTGCAGCCTGTGTCAATTTTATGAAAGTCTTTTCTTAATCAAACTATAATCCTTTCCTATTCCTCTAACTGAGATATTTGTAGGAAAACATGCACATTTTCATTACTTTTAACCTCAGTTGCAGTCACAAGCCCAGCTATGCATTTAGCATTAGCAAAGCACTATTTATTGTACCAATCTAGAGGTGTTTGATCTTTCAACTAGCGTAGGTCTAGGTGCTACCCACTACCATTCCCTTAGTGTAGTTCAGTCTTAAGTTCAAACAATTTGATGAGATTGTTTTTGAAAATTCAAAAATCACAGGAATATGGAAATACAGAAATAGTGCATAGGCAAGGGTTTTAGGGCTAAGAGGTTTTATTTTTATTTAGCATATGGCAAATACATGGCTAAGAGGTGACTTGGGCTAAAATGGGATAAACAAAAAGAATCCACTTGTTAATATTTATGCCCCTAAAGGTACCTATGAACAGAAGAAAAATGCTGTACTTTCAAAGCAAAGTTGTAATTTGTAAGGCTGGGGGAAATAATGACAGTTTGATAACTTGGTCTTATAACATTTCCTTTTTGCCTTTACTCTTCACTCTTTTGCTAAAAGCCTACATGAAGATTTCAGTTCTAGCTGTTGTTTATGAGGATAGTATTTATCAGGTTAATTAATACTGGCCAATGGGGAGGGGAAAAAAAGAAATATTGAGGTTTTGGAACTGAATAAAGGTATAAGTTCTCCTCCCAAAAGAACCAGATTTGCATCCAATCCCTTCATCCCTTTGAAAAACACACTTTTAATTTAAAAGAAGTCTTAATGTTCTTGTTTAACAAAAAAAGTAGCAGCCATGAAGTTAAAGTATGGGCAGCCAGAATAGTCAGAAAATGGAATCCAAATCCCCACAGACCATAAATAACTACAAAACAAGAAAGGATGGAGAAAATATAATACAACACAAAACACAGTCCCTGAGTATGTTCTTCCAATTTCAAAGCCATAATAACAAGCCTTACATCTTGGGTTATTAAGCTCCCAGTCATAACAGGTATGGCCATATGGGAAGGAAATGTAAAGTGAATAGAAACCAGACTTCTAGCATATTGAACTGCAAATGTGTTGCCACTGCCGTGCCAGAACCACTGAATGCGAGGCTGATCATAATATGTACAATACACTATATGAGGTGCTTTCTGAAAATAAAGATATTATGGCTGTCTGAGCTTTTTCAACCTTGGCAGCTTTAAGGTGGGTGGACTACAACTCCCAGAATCCTCCAGCCTCCCATCAATTCTGGGAGATAAGGCCACCCATCTTATGGTTGCCAAGGTTGTGAAAGACTGAGTTAAACAATGAGAATGATACTATATACGATTTAGGCAACAGTTTCATAAATTCTGGTCAGTCTTTAATCAAATTACAGAAATGACCACCATGTTTACATCATGTTCTAAGCCTAAATAAATAAAAAAACGTATTTGCCTTTTGCACCTTCACCCCTACTGTGCTCAGGAACATCTTCATATTTGTATGCATTTTGGTGCCTATATTTCCTAATATATATGTTTTCAATGCAAATTCATTTAGATGTTTTGGCAAGCAACCTTCTTTTGATAATGCATTCTATACACATTTTTCCCAATACATGGATTTTTTTAAATCAATCACTCTTAATTTGGGAACTACATGACAAATTGTGGATAGACGAACTGTGGCCCTTGACAAGTCTACTTTAGAGACAAATGTTTTTAGTTCAGACTATGGATAAAATTGTATGTAATAATGCTCTTTCCTTCTAGGCCTTTTCGCTATGATTTAACATTACTTTCCTACATTTCTGCTATTGTCAATGGACCAATATTAAGCTTCCTTGTGCAGTTGGTTGGCCACTGAGAGAGTAAACTGCTGAACCAGATGGGCCAGGGCACTGTCCATATTCTTATTTTCTTATGATATTCTTTTGGAACAGTTCAGGAGACTTGGAGCAGGATTTTGTCATCTCTCTCCCTCAGATATGTACTATCTCATCCTAGATCCTTCAGAGTTTGGTCTATAACCATGATCAATGGATCTCAGTGCTGCGTGTTTGTGTAAAGAGGTCACTGATCACTTTTTCAGCAAGATTCCTCAAAAAAGGAAAAGATGGAGATAGGACAAAATTTGTGTCTACCATTCAGTGCAATAATGGTTTCTTGAAGAGTGGGCAGATCACTGCTTCTTTAAGCACAGACTAGGCCATCTCTTTCAAGGACTAACTTGAAGGGGCACAATCTGAACTAACTATACAGCATCTCCTTGGAGGCTTTCACCAACCAGGAGAGATATGGAATTAATACATATGTAGACAGGCTTGCTGCTCCAAGGATTCTGTTAATTTTCTTGGGACCAGTACGTTCAAACTCTTCCCAAATAACAAGCCAGACTGGTCTCAGTCAACTCAGTAGGACTGACATAGCTGAAGTCCAGCTCAGAGCAAATCCAAGCAATTTTGTATGACAGCTGCTCAAACAGCTTGACATAGGCTCCTTTCTAGAGCTGATTTAAAGACAAGGCTAGCACCCAGCTGGCCTTGTGCCTAAGGTGGTCTTGAACCCCAGGGTTCAAGGCATCTGATTCTGGATTCAAGGAAGGCAGATTGAAAGTAATATAAGTTGAAAAACTCAATTGTGAGTGTAGCAACAGAATCATGATGTTCAGATTGGGAGGCTGCTGTGCACCAGGACACCTGGTATAGCAACAGCAAATTCCATCTGATCCCTAAAGCCCTAATGCACGAACAGGATTTCATATGGTTATCTGCACAGCAATAACTCTCAAAGCCATCAGTCTCCCAAATGACTACAGCCACTTCACTTTCCCTGCCCCTGGAGTTGTAGCTGGGTGGTCAAGTTTCTGAGAGGGAACTGCCTTCTATGCTCAGGCTGACCTCAGTTATTTATGCCAGCCCAGCCCTCTCATGTACAATATATCTCAGATGGGGAAGAACTTATTGAGGCTGACCTAGCATTTAGCAGCTGCTGCTGCTGCTAGAGACCAGGGCAGCTAAGGATCCAAAGACTTTGTTCTGAGGATTCAGCTATTGTATGTTGTCTGTTTGATTCAATAAAGCAATTTGACTTACATGAATAATGTGCTATAGCCCGAAAGACAGTGAAAGTGCTATGATTTAAACTTAAAAGAAAACATTTCTCCACTCCTAAAAGCAGCAGTGAAGAGCTGAGCTTACCATTTCGACCGTTCTGTTTCAATGTGTTTGCTGACAGCTGGATGGTGCTGCCAAAGCCAGTATTCTGTGGAAATTTAAGATCTTCCAGGTTTCCATCTGTGCTTAGCCTTGCAACTTCCAGCTCTATTAGTATGAAAAAATGGAATGTGTGTAAGTGCAAAGTATTGATAATGGATTATAGGACAAGAGGAGAAACAACAGTTTGTTCAAATCAGCATGCCTTAAATAGAGATGGTTTTTTTTGGGGGGGGGGGGGATTCTGCTGACTTTGCTTTCTTTCTTCCCAGCGCTTGAGTTGGCTGTTTTTAGCTGATTAAACAGGCAGCAAAGCACCCTGCAGAGCAGATCGAATTACTGGAGATGATTTGTAAAATGATACGGACTGATGCCAAACCTATGCTCATCATTCCAAGAGACTTTCACACACAACAGTAGGGAGCATAAAGAGCTCACCAAATATTACCTTCCAACATTTTTTCCATTGCAAATTGGATATTGGAAAATTGGCTGGAAGATCCCTAGCAAGAATTTCACACCCTGAAACATAAGCACGGATGTAGTGACAGCCAAAGGAGAAAAAAGGTGGTGATATTATTTCTCTTAGCTGCTTAGATGGCAAATAAACACAAACTTCTGCAAGGCAGAGAGAATTCATTAAACATGTTTATATTCAGGTTCTGTGATACATAAATTTCCTTGCATATAAAGCTCAATGTTGCAATATCTTCAGTACAAGTTATAATTTATCATTTAGCCTTAAATCCAAGCAAAATAACCAAACCAATCCATATCAAAATTCATATTTTTCATGATAAGGCAACATTTTGTTACAAAATAGAAATGATGTTTCCACATATTTCAAATATTCAATAACATTCCTATTACGTCTGGGAAACTTTTCATTTGATCTGGCAAAATGGAGGTTCATAATTTTATCCCAATCAATAAAACTAATTCATCTCCTTAGCAGCAATTCATCATGCTGAATAAGAATATAGATTCAACTTGTCCTAGCTAACGGAACCATATAGTCTACATAGGATACTTTTATAGAATAAATTGCTTGAGAAGTCAACCAGTTTCTCTCAATATTTCTGTATGTATGTATGTATGTATGTATGTATGTATGTATGTATGTATGT